CGGAAAGAAAAAAAAAAAAAAAAAAAACTCCTTGCATGAACTGAAAAACCAGACTTTTTTACGTGAAGGCAGCGCCACAGCATGGCACTGAGGTTTAATCGCATCCTCCTGCATGACTGAAGCGCCGTACTCAATCCGCATGATAACTTGAAAGCATGAAACCATGGCGAGATTCTAAAGTCAATTTAATCGTACTAATCAACTGACCTCAAACTCACTTACAGAGTTAACTCTCATTATTCTTATGCTTCTTTCCCCATAATTGAGCTTCACACATTAAAATGTTGTCTTTGGTCTAAAATAATAACAGCCTTCATGCTATCTATGTCTGTGCTGATTTTTACTGCATGAAAAGTAATTGTGACATATTGAAGTGTTGTGCATTTTGTCAGTCTGCTTGAGTTTCTATTTGACACTTTGTGGAATATTATCTACAGTATGTGGAAAGGTGAGACAAAAGCATTGTTTTGGAAATCACAAAGTTTCAAATCTTGGATATGTAGTCCCAGATGAAGATCCTTGTGGGTTACAGCTGTGGTCCAAACCCTACATTATGTTGAAGTCTTTAAGTCTGTCTGCGCTACCAATTACAGACTTCCAATTACCCTCCTGCTCGCACAGTGTGATTGGCTGCTGTCAGATTCATTAAAAGTATATTTCTTGTCAGAAAAATCAGTTGGTTCTCTTTGTATCTTTTAATCTTTGGGAATAGTGAGGTTGGATGTCAAGACAAGTGTAATTAAAAAAAACAGCTCAGCTATCGTTTGCTGTACATTCCCATATGTTTTTTAAACTAACTTCCCTACTATATTAAGTGGTTTAATGTGGACTTTTGACACATTTCACAGCTGTTAAAACATTCACTTTATGTTTAAACAAACTCACTTACCCAATAAGGAAACACCTATCAATATCTTAATCAATATATTTTTGAGCACACACGCATCAACCTGCCTGTCCAAACGGCACACAGACAAAGCCTGCGACTAGCTAGTAAACACACCTTAGTGGAACATTGTGTTTGACAGCTTGCTTTGGAGTTCTTCTGCCCCCATGTGGCCAAAAAATAAACACTTGCTCACTAAATGAAACAAACCCCAGTTAGTACCTTGGGAGTACGTTGCATACTGTTACACTAGTAGAGTTTTGGAATTTGATGTAATTTTATTTCCACAGATTTTTCATGACCAAGTGAAATCAGCATGTCAGTTTTTTTTTTAATTCTCTTGCACTTACAATAATTTTCCTACTCATTTACTGCCTGCTGCCAACACTGACACATGCTGACACATGCTCAGTCTGAGGGTTTATCAGGGTATTCTTGTGTATATATCCTGAGTGATTCCAGTCCTTCAGTCAGTGTTTTTTCATTCTTTGCCCAGGTTTATTTCATCTCCCCTCCCTCACCTTCTGCCCCTCTCCTCCAGGAGTCAGAGTTTGATTCAAACAAGCAGGTGGACAGTCCATCAGAGGAGCCCACCACACCCAAAGTTATATCGGCCAGCGAGAACCCCAAATATCAGCTGTTCCTCAACAATGAGGTGAGGACCAACGGGGTAAGCAGCAAGGATACAAATGGTCCAGGAAGCATTGGATTGGGCACGGAGAATGGCCCCAGGCTGTCCCGATGGGAGTCCACCCGGCCAGGGCTGAACCACTATCTAGGGTCCCTGGAGTCCCTGGCCTCACGGGACTGGGACAATATGTCTGACAGGGTGAGTGAGCCAGTCCAGTCCATGGACTCTGTGTATGTGTGTTTGTGTGAGCCAGATCAAGGAGATTAGCGATAAGAGATTTTTTTTTTCTTTTATGATGATCTGATGCTGTTTTATTGCTGAGTAGCTGTGACTCCAGAGACCAGTTATTAAACAGTGCCATCTCCTGGAGAAAACCCAGGTTTTAGGCAAAACCAGAATTTTAATATTATTAAAACCTCCAAGTCTTGAAAATAGGCTGACGTTACCTTCCTGACACAACTAAAAGACTGGTATAACTCAATAACAGACTATATTTATTTGGTAAAGTGGAGATTTTTGCAATATCAGAATGTTATTAGGAACATGTTTATACCTCTTTCTCACTGTTGCCTGGCCTTTTGCCCAGTTTTTTAGACCCCAGAATTCTCAAGTGCCCACAATTAGTATTTTCAAGAACTCTTTTCTCTTGAATCTAATTATATATACGTATATTTTTGAAACATGGCACTGTTCATAAGAAATTCCCAAATTCCATCAACATACTGTAAATGCAGTAAATGACAAAAGTCTGTCTTGCATTTATCCATGTACATGTAATTAAACAAATTCACCTTGCAACTATTTAGCACATTTAAGTTTTGTTTACAACATCATCTTTACTGCACTCTTTTACACTGAACTGAGAACCAAACGTCCTCATGCGAAACCACAAGAACAGCTGAATCTGCACTTTTCAGCACTTAGATTATTGACTTTTGCTCTTTCTCTCTGATTTTTCTCGTATCTCTCTCTCTCTCTCGTTACTGTTGGTTAACATCGGTGTTGTTTGCTTGTTTGTTTCCAGATTGGTGTTGACAGCCCCAGAGTGTTTAACAGTCCGTACACCACAGCTGCCTCCATGGAATACAACCCCATGTACCGAATGTCAGAGTACAAGGTTTGTTAAGCTTTTTTGTATCTGTGAAAGTAACTAGCTATTGTTTTACTTGATTATTTTCATTTTATACTACTTCATAATTTTATCCTGATCACTTTGACTTAGTTTTCTTATTCTTTTTAGTCTATTTTTACTCTACTTTTATTCTATTTTAGTTTCCTATTTTAGTATGGCATTAAATACTAGGTGAGAGAGAAACTTTGCTTGAGGTGGGTCGTCTGGATCCTGTATTGTGTGCTGTTATTTACAGGCCACCGAGATACAACAAGGACTTTGTGAATGACTTTGCAGATTTTTTGGCTGGCGTTAGACCTTATTATGATCATTTTCTTATTCTGGGAGATTTTAATATACATGTGTGCTGCCCTGATAAACCACTGGTGAGAGAATTTCTAACTATTATTGATGTTTTTGATTTGGTGCAGTGTGTGTCTGGTCCCACACATGAACGGGGACACAATGCTTTGTGGGCGCCTGTTCGGCGCTGTCGGACACTGAACCCATCCACTGCTGGCTTATTTGCCACGGCCTTCGACCAGGCAATTGGTCGTGTTGACCTGG